AATTGTGGAGTGTGAGGGTGGTGAGAGCCTGGCCCAGGTTGCCCAGGGAAGCTGTGGCTGCCCCATCCCTGGCAGTGTTGAAGGGCAGGTTGGATGGGGCTTGGAGCAGCCTGGGCTGGTGGGAGGTGTCCCTGACTATGACACGGGACTAGATGATCTTTAAGGTCCCTTCCAAACCAAAGCAGTCTGAGATTCTATGACTTTATGATGGGTCATGGTAGGGTATATTCCCGCCCAAGGTCCCATGTGCCAATGGGGGTATCCCCCCAGGGTGCCTCATGTCCCAACTCATTTAAGTTTTTTTCAAAGGGAGGATTTGGGTCCTTCTCAGGATGCCAGTTATTAGCTTGTTGTTGTAAATAACATACTTTGAGTTGATACTCAATTAATGACAACAGACCCAGCTGTGTTAGTAACAGGGGAGTTGGGTGCCAGCAGCTTTGTGCATCACACAGTAGAATCACAGAATCATTTGGTTAGAAAAGACCTTTAATACTGTCAAGTCCAACCCTAAACCTCACACTGCTCATGATGGGTCATGGCGGGGTATATTCCTGCCCAAGGTCCCATGTGCCAATGGGGGGATCCCCCCAGGGTGCCTCATGTCCCAACTCTTAAGTTTTTTTCAAAGGGAGGGTTCAGGTCCTTCTCAGGATGCCAGTTATTAGCTTGTTGTTGTAAATAACATACTTTGAATTGATACTCAATTAATGACAACAGACCCAGCTGTGTTAGTAACAGGGGAGTTGGGTGCCAGCAGCTTGGTGCATCACACAATAGAATCACAGAATCATTTGGTTAGAAAAGACCTTTAATACTGTCAAGTCCAACCCTAAACCTCACACTGCCAAGTCCACCACTAAACCATGTCCTTAAGTGCCACATAACACATCTTTCAAATCCCTCCAGGGATGGGGACTCCACCCCTGCCCTGGGCAGCCCGTGCCAGGGCCTGACAACACTTTCCATGACCAAATTTTTCCTAATATCCAATCTAACCTCCCCTGGAGCAACTTGGGGCCATTTTCCCTTGTTCTATCACTTGTAACCTGGGAGAAGAGACCAACCCCTTCTTGCTCCAACCTCCTTTCGGGGAGGTTTGTAGAAGGTTGAAATTTGTCTATGATTTTTTTCTCCAGGAAAACACCATCCCTGCCAGTAACTCCACTGCACCCTTTACAAGGTGAGCAGGGCAAGAGCACTCCCCCAGCCCCACTGCCCTTCCCTGGACACTCTCCAGCCCCTCCATGTCCTTCCTGTGCTGAGGGGCCCAGACCTGACCCCAGGATTCCAGGTGTGGCCTCCCCAGTGCCAGGTACAGCCAGGAGGGGTGGTCGCTGCCAGGGCTGGTACTGGGTTATGACACAATCCATGCTGATGGAGTCCTCTGCCTCCTTCGACCCATCCCCAACAGACCGACCCCGGCAGAGCCAGCGGGAGCGAACGGGGCGGACACAGCAGGGTCTGCAGCTCGGGCTGACGGTGGTGCAGGTGCTGGGAAAGGCTCAGGGG